AAAGGATGTCGAATCCGAAAAAAAACTAGAAAAAAAAAAAAAAAAGCATACGGAAATTTCGGACTCCGTGTGCAAGGACCTTAAACTGTGATAATGTGAGAAATGTTAAAGGTGTCTCAATAAATTTAGGTTTGACTGTATATTTAACAGAATAGTCCACCCTAAAATGAAAATTCGTATCATTTACTTACCCTCATGTTGTTCAAAACCTGTGTGACTTTTTTTTTCTTGCTTCTATGGAATTTTGGTAACAAACAGTTTTGGTTCCCTTTGACTTCATGATCAAAAAAAGAATGGATCAAGTCAATAGGAACCTGAACTGTTTACCAACATTCTTCAAAATATCTTCTTAAGACATGAAGGTGAGTAAATGATGACAGAATTTTCATTTTTGGGTGGACAATCCCTGCAAGCTGTTGATTTATTTAGCATATTGTATATTTTGGTCATAAAAGGACTATACTGCATGTATATATGTATACTCTACATTTATTTTTTGCTTTATGTGGAACTTTGTGTTGATGAGTCACATTGTAATTTGAGTCACATTGAAATGTATATGCTAACACAAATTCACATTGCATTCACAGCATTCCTGGAAAAGGGTGTAATAACAGGAATTATTTAGTTTCGAGTCAACTACTGTCCTGGAGGATGAACAATTTGAAAATAAAATGTTTTTGAGGGAGTTGACATGTTTATAGCTAGCTGTCTGAATAATAACACTTTCGATTTGGCACAGACATTTTAAGACCCCTTGAGTATAGACACTAAGTATATACAAGACTGCATGCTTGCAATGCAGGGCCATAGCTGGGGTTTGTGCAAGTTGTACCTGTGGGCCCTGTTTGAAACTGTGCAAATAGCACAAATAAATAAATAGAACAAAGATACAAATCAAACAATGTTTAAGTTTTTTTCCAGTTTGTAGGTGTCCAGGTACATAAACCGAATAATGAAATGTAAAATAGCTTTGCATAGTCTTCACTATATAAGTTAAATATAGATTAATTATTGTTAAAACTACAAAGTAATTCAGTAAAGAGCAGTGAGTGATTTTCTCTCATTTGATTTCTTGGATTAACATTAAGGACACTGGCAGCAGCTAGTAAATTAGGCGCAGTCACTTTAAGAGACAATGCATCCAATATAATGATACATATCTGATTTCTTTCTCAACTGTTTACTTTCACTTAAGACATAACCGACAATTTTTTCAAGGATACTCGCAAAGATGGGTATTGTGACATAATTTTGTATGTATTTGTCGGTTCAAGAGCAAGAAGAATTCAGTGTTCACGGACTGTGTGTCAACTGTCCTGAGCGTCTTTTTAGGCTGGCCTCGGCCAGTCGGTTAAAGTCGCCGGGGGCCCCCCACAGCCGTGGGCCCCTATAATCGTCACCACCTTTCACCCCGCTAGCGACAGCCCTGCTGCAATGCACTGACCAAGCCAGATAAAGAATCTCAGTCTCTGTCTTTATGTTTTAGGGAAGATGCAGAGGCTCCCAAAGCGAAACTGGTGAAGCCGAACTCTCTCTCCTCCTCCCGATCTGGTAGTTCTCGCTCCGGGGCCTCCTCCACTCAGTCTATGGTGCACAACAGCGCCCCCCGTGGGCCCAGGCCTCGACTGCCTATCGTGGCTGCCCTTAAAGAAAGCGGGCAGCCCGAAAACTTCCCTCCGGTCCCACCGCCGTACAACCATGTGGTCCCCAAACCTCTGGAGCCCGGCAGTAGCCCCAAAGCCAGCCCGGCAAAACTCAGCCCTGGGAACCTGGCGAGGATGGGCGCCACACCGGTGATGATTCCCGCCCAAACCAAGGCATTCCAGACTGTGTAGGAATAACAAACGCCCTAAACATACACACAAACATAAATACACACACTGCACCGAGCATCAAATCCCACATCTGGTATCAGGAACATTCCCAAAGGATTTCCCATTCCCTGCAGAAAAACCCAGGTGGTCAGGCCTTTTGATTCAACAGAACCGACTTTGTTGGAAAATAAATGCTTTTGTTGTTTTTATGTGCACACTGAAGTGGAAGAAGACCCCTTGTGGAGTGTAAAGGGTAAAGGGGTTTGGTTGTGGAGGGCTGTGCCTTGCGTTATGATGATGGTTTGAGCAAACAAAAGAGGCAGATATGAACAGAGATACAACTCTGCCTTTACCCAGACAGACAGCCTGTCTACCTGACCGCACACTTCCCGTCCTTTTAGAAGCTTTAAATTCTTGAGTGCAGATTTTTATATACATTAATCATTTTTGTATTCTTGTTATATTTGGGTTACTCTAATGCCATTGCAAATACATTTTCTCTATTTTTCAGTTGTTTTCCCTCTTAGATTTCAATGTTTGAGGAATTCTAATGCTCAGAGAGGCATTCATACCCAGACCCAGCTGGGAAAATGTGCTTTTTGAGTCCACATTAGTGAACAGCAGGGGACCACAACATGGATTCCTCCCCTCAAAGAGAAAGTCTTGTTATTTACGTCTTCAGAAATGAATTAGATGGACGAACAAGATGTCAGAAAATATTCAAAGTGACAGGTCACCCTTAAGGGACAGAACAATGTCTTCTTGCCAGATAACAAGGGAATAAGCGTCTCTGCGTGGAACAAGACTTTGATGTCAATGCTGGAAGAGGTAAAGGAACCAAAGGCTGACCTTATTTATCTAAATCCAATCCTTCACAACTCTTGAAGCCAATGCAAAAGAACACAGTGTGTACACCCAGTTCCACTGATTTAGCTTCAACCCACAGCCCGGTCGATTCCGCTGCTTTGAAGTCTATTTCCATGCGCAGGGAAATTCAGAAAATGAAGTAATATTAGTCAAAGTACTTCCTCGCAACCCGCTGTTCCTGTACGGCTGAGTCTGCTGTTGATATGTGCTGAGATGCATGGTTCAGTTGAGTTTGTGTTCGGTCAGTCGCAGCTGAACAGTTTGAATGCTGAGCTCTAATGTTAAACACCCTGCATACAATTGCTTGAGAGAATGTGCATCTAAACAATGGACCTGCATGACACCGATAGCTAGAGAAAGACGAATATTTTGACTCAGTGCTAATATCAGTACATTATATACTAAGAATCGCATTATGAAAGGGTTTTGGTTCAAATGTTACTAATGTAAATACTTTTATACGTCGCCTATCATTATACGGAATAATGCAAGAACTCATTCTTGTCGAGGTTTTGCACTTCTACAGCTGTGCTCTCTATACAGTAGTTTTGTCTGGTCAGTCTGGTGTTTTGACTGCATGAGTAAGGAAACCATGAGCCATTTCCCTCTGTTGCTGTTTTTTTGTTGTTGTTTTTTTTAACATTACTGGCTATGTTTTGATGACAAAGGACATTGTACATATTTCCTTTCTTCATTACAAATGTATATTTGTACAGTATCTTAATGATTTTCTTTTGGTTTGTAATAAAGCATTCAGTGGCAAGCCAATGAAAATGCTTTCATTTTTCTGTTCACTGCACAGACGTTTCAGGGGTTTCCATTCTCACAAGTAGTTAAGCTGCCTTTTGACTTTGTGGAGGGATCAAAATCCAAACTCAAAGCAAATTTAAAGATACCGTTGAAATGTTATTTATGTACTTGTGTCTGGGGGGAAAAAGTATTTTCTGTGGCAGCCATCCATCTGAAGTGTTCTTGCTCGAAGTTGAGAGTCAAGTTAGTTTCTGGTGTCTTATGGGCTAAAAAAGAAGAAGAAAGGAAGTTAATTGTTCATTCCTTAATCCCCCCATTGTGGTGTAATTGTTCTCTCAGTCTCATAGTGATTCGGGCATGCTTCATCAGTATGCAGTCTGACAAATCATTAACACGGAGCATGTGAGCGCCTCACGCTGCTGACCCAAATCTCCTATAGAACAATATAATACATTATTTTCCAATCGATCACAGCCGTTGTTCTAAAATATCTAAAATCCGTTTTCCACCTTCCTCCTCACTCGTAACAATAAGAGGATCTCGTAAAGAATTTTAGGATGCTTGATTACAGTGTTAGTGCAATTGTGCCCTCTACTGGCCACAATGTGCATTTACCTGCACTTATACAAAAATCAACAGTATGAAATAGAGGGAATAAATAAAACATAAGCATGTGGAAAGGAAAGAGCATTTATATCTAGTGTAAAAGTGCCATTTTTGTGTTTTCCCTGATGAAAAAAACAACAGGCACCATCACAAAATGTGCAATGGTTTTACTGGTTATAATGGGACTTGTATTGGTTTTAATGGTAACTGTAATGGACCCTATGGGTTCCTACTGGTAATTGGTTGCCTTCTATTAGTGGCTTGTTAAAGCCACTAAATCCTAATGGAATACTGTATTTACTAGTTACCATATCAACATTATATAGAGGAAAAAAGTGCGCCAAAATTATTTTGAAGATATCGCTGAACCATAGCATCGCTTTACCGTAGTAAAATTAAATTTCTGGCTTTAGTAAATTTTTCATCTCAGTTTTTATTATTCATTTAAAATGAGACAACTCTGCTATTATTTTAATCGCCAATCTGTTATTTATCAGTAGGCTATAGATCGTTTTTTAATGCTTCAATAACTAGCAGAAGACACTAACCAGTTTTAACAACAGGCACCATCACAAAATGTGCAATGGTTTTACTGGTTATAATGGGACTTGTATTGGTTTTAATGGTAACTGTAATGGACCCTATGGGTTCCTACTGGTAATTGGTTGCCTTCTATTAGTGGCTTGTTAAAGCCACTAAATCCTAATGGAATACTGTATTTACTAGTTACCAGAAAAAAGTGCGCCAAAATTATTTTGAAGATATCGCTGAACCATAGCATCGCTTTACCGTAGTAAAATTAAATTTCTGGCTTTAGTAAATTTTTCATCTCAGTTTTTATTATTCATTTAAAATGAGACAACTCTGCTATTATTTTAATCGCCAATCTGTTATTTATCAGTAGGCTATAGATCGTTTTTTAATGCTTCAATAACTAGCAGAAGACACTAACCAGTTTTAAATTCCAGTTGTGCAGACGCTGTAACACTGCGTTACAATATGCCCCGCTATTATTATGACATTAGTGATGTATTTACTTTAATGAATTGTAATGTGAAACGACGAGAAACAGGTGAATAAAGACTGACAGTCAATGTTTAATGTTCAGAAATTATTCTTTCAATACATGTAAAGCATTTTGGCTCGTTTTTGTGGGCCGTCCCAAGCCTGGTTGTAATGTGTTCATTGACAAACTCCAAAATCAGATTATCTTTAATTCTTAAAAAACGCCATTATTTTATTTGAAATAAATAATTATTTTATTTTATTGACAAAATAGTTTAGTTTGTCTTGTATATTTTTTTTTCATGCGATCAGATAACATTTTAAGCGGTCATATGGTCATGTTACAACATTAAATCTTAAAAAACGCTATTATTTTATTAAAAAAAAAGTTGATCATTTTATTTTATTGACAAAATATTTTAGTTTGTCTTGTATATTTTTTTTTCATGAGATCAGATAACGTTTTAAGCTGTCATACAGTCATGTTACAACGTGCCCCTCAGATGTTACAACGTACCCCACCTACGGGGCATGTTGTCACATTTCACTTCCATTTTTTTGAGGGTAAATAAAGAAAAACGTATACACTGTAATTATGAAACAAGGCGACATATTTGTACTATACAAGTGTGAAATTACTCTGGATAAAATATTTTATTCTGAACCCCATGTGGATTTACAAAAACTGAGAAAGTCAAAAAGTGTTACTTTTTTGTGCCCCGCTCCCCAGAACAATGATAAAAATTAATTTACACATTTTCATTTCTTGACTGAAAAAGAACACAAGTTAAGTTGAGCTCAAAACTTTTATTTTAATAATAATAATAATAATGATGGTAATAATAATAATAATACATATTTACAAAAACCATATGCCTCATATGCTTACTTGACAGTTCTCGGATTATTACAAATCAAACATGTCAGAAAGAGACGCTCGGTTCATCGATAGGATTTTTGCTTCAATGAATCAGACTCAAGAACCGCTAAACCTATTGGATTCTTCTGTGAATCCTTCAGAACGGTTATGTGAGCCGGTTGAACTGATTCACTAAAAAGATCCGAATCACATGAGCGATTCTCTCACGAATCGGACAACGCGTTAAAGCGCTGAGATTTACGGGACAAAAATATTGTTGAGTGTTGGGATAAATTAATACATTTAGGATAATCCTGCTAGTATCACACAGAGCTCTTTAATTAAGACGCGATGATTTCGCAGGATTACACGAAGTGTCACTTCTTGAAATCACAAATCATTCGAATCAGTTCGCCAGTTTCCCAACCCCTGCAGTCCAGATCTGCAAACAGCACCTCCCGTCCTCATTTCGTCCTGAGGCGAACTTTCCATCTCACGGGAGGTTAGATGCGCTTTACACGAGCAGTTGAGGAAAATGGCTTGTACGGTCGGTGGTCAGATCATACCGCAGTTAAACGTGGAGGAGGCGACGGAGGACAGCAGCCCGTCCAGGAGCACCTCCACCCGGCGTAGCAAAACCTCCTTCTCCCCGTTCAGCTCGAGGAAACATCAGAGGTAAGACACACTGTCTCTAATTCAGTGCAGTGTTCCAGATATTCAGTATCTAATGAGTTCTGTCGCGTTAAGGCTGATTGTGATGATACAGGAACAGTTAAACAGCTGTGGTGAAGTTGGCACAGGTCTTGGTTTAGACAAACGTCAGTCATTTTGACAAGTGTCAATCATGCTGGAGAAAGTCAAAAAGTGTTACTTTTTTGTGCCCCGCTCCCCAGAACAATGATAAAAATTAATTTACACATTTTCATTTCTTGACTGAAAAAGAACACAAGTTAAGTTGAGCTCAAAACTTTTATTTTAATAATAATAATAATAATGATGGTAATAATAATAATAATACATATTTACAAAAACCATATGCCTCATATGCTTACTTGACAGTTCTCGGATTATTACAAATCAAACATGTCAGAAAGAGACGCTCGGTTCATCGATAGGATTTTTGCTTCAATGAATCAGACTCAAGAACCGCTAAACCTATTGGATTCTTCTGTGAATCCTTCAGAACGGTTATGTGAGCCGGTTGAACTGATTCACTAAAAAGATCCGAATCACATGAGCGATTCTCTCACGAATCGGACAACGCGTTAAAGCGCTGAGATTTAC